CAAGCTATCGCCCTGGGTAGAGTGCTGTGGCATCATAGCTCATAACAACCTCCAACTCTTGGGCTCAAGCGATCCTTTTGCCTCAGTTCTTCTATTTTTAGTAGAGACAGAGTCTTGCTTTTGCTTAGGCTGGTCTTGAACTCGTGATCCCAAGCTATCCACCCGCCTTGGCTTCCCAGAGTGCTAGGATTACAGGTGTGAGCTACCACGCCCAGCCTCATATTATTGTATTGATAAATGTTGGCTTTATAAAAAGAGGTGAAGTTTTGGTGGCTTTCTATTGCTGACAGACTTCAATTGATATTCTAAATCCTGTACAACTCAGTTCCCGTGCTGCTCATTAATTTTTTTCCCCTACTCCTCACAAACATGATAGATTCATCTACCCAGTGAGCCTCCTTCTTAATGGTGTGCTAAACATACCTTCCTCTGTTCTTTTTTCCTTTGAGACAGAATCTCACTTTGTCGCCCTCAGTAGAGTACCATGGCATCACAGCTCACAGCTACCTCCAACTCTTGGGCTCAAGTGATGCTCCTGTTTCAGCCTTCCTGGTAGTTGGGACTACAGGCCCCTGCCACAACGCTTGTCTTTTCTGGGTCTCACTCTTGCTCAGGCTGGTCTTGAACTCCTGAGCTCAAGCAATCCACTCGCCTTGGCCTCCCAGAGTGTTATGATTACAGGCGAGAGCCACCGTGCCCGGCTACCATTCTCTCTGACTCTTACCTTTCACTAGTGCTCTCCTTTTGGCCTGCTTAGGAATCCTACCTATTTTTTAGTGTTCCATTCAAACTAAGGCCACTCCAACACACCGTAGTTCCACTGTAAACTCCTTGAAGCCAGAAACAATGTCTTTTACTTCTTCAGTATTCTTTTTCATAGTGCCTAGCACATACAGTATTTGCTCAAGAAATCCAAATGAATTTAGTCACAAGGGATTTTGGGAAATACACTAGGATCTATAGCTTGCTTTGGTTGTTATCTTAGACAATGTAAACTCTGGCTTGCCATGATGAATACTTTAGATGTCTGGAAAAAAAATCTCCTGTGAACTACTGAAAATATTCAAAACCA